GGATAGCTCCTGTTTTTTTTTGTTATCAAAGGAAAACTGGCCCAAAATAGTGAAAAAAAAATATTTTTTTTTTTTTAAACTGTGTGTTTCTTGTTACTACCATAACCTACCACCAAAGAACAACCCAAAATAAATTCTCCAGCTCTTGACAATTGCAGCGATACCATCTATGTGTATGTTATTTGTTGTTTGTACCCGTAGTACAGCCCAGAAACAATTGTGCGTATTTTGTTTTTGTCCTTTTTATTTTTTTTTTTTTACCTAAAACACACTGACATTGACACTAATACCAATTTTTTTTAATCCTGAACTTTGACCCTGACCTTGACCTAAACAATAACCCTGGCACTGAACTAGATCAAACCTTAATCCAGGTATTTTTTCTTTCTAATTTTTTTACAAACTTTTGTTTTCTCTCTATGCCAGGAGTTAGAGAGATACAATGTATCTCTCTTCTCCATTCATAGATAGAAAAAAAACAAGGGCCAATCAGAGGCTATCACAGCGATCTTGTGACCCAGAATCGGGAGTCCTGGGTCCCAATCATTAGAATGGGACCCGGGGCTTTCAGTGACACCGCGGTCTTTGTGCTGGGTCCGTGCAGTGCGGTGCGCTGATATGTGGCCTCACGGAAAAAAGCCCAGTTCTGTGTGACGTTGGCGTCAAGGGGTTAAGTGACTCCCTTTAATAATTAACTGTCTGCTGGACACCTGTTTAATGAATAATTAGGCTCACCTGTAGTTTCATTCTTTTTAATTAGGATTTTGTTGTGTAAAATTTAGCTTTGCTGCTAAGACTTTCATTGGGGTGTATTAATTTTTGCAACATGGCCTTGAATGAATTTGATAGGAAAATACTTTTGTGTGTGCAACAAATCTTGTTTGCAATCAATGGCCCGCATTTGTGGGAGTATTTTGTAGTATAGTGCCCCTTAGAAAATGTTGATTCTGAAAGGAAAGGTTTTCTGACAAGTCTGCTGAGCTGTGTGTGTGTGTGTGTGTGTGTATATAAGCTTTATAGAAAACTTTTTAATCAGAGTATAGCATCCAGGTAATTAAACCCCTGGGATATTGATCTGGTCAGTTTAAGTAGCAGAGGGTCTTGTTTATCAGTTTCAGCTGCTTTTGTGTTAATGAAATTAACAGGTACACTAGATGGGCAACAATGAGATGACCCCCAAAACAGGAACGGTTTTACAGGTAGAGGCCACTGACATTTTTTTTCCCTACTCCTCTTTCCTGACTGCTTTTACTAGTTTTGCATTTTGTTGCTTTCAGTGTCACTACTGGTATCATAAGGCGATACCTGGACCCTACAGAGGTTGGACAGGCAGTCCAACTCCTCCAGGATGGCTAATCAATACATGCCATTGCCAGAAGGTTTGCTGTGTCTCCCAGCACAGTCTCGAGAGCATGGAGGAGATTCCAGGAGATAGTCAGTTACACTAGGAGAGCTGGACAGGACCATAGAAGGTCCTTAACCTATCAACAGGATCAGTATCTGCTCCTTTGTGCAAGGAGGAACAGGATGAGCACTGCCAGAGCCCTACAAAATGATCTGTAGCAGGCCACTGGTGTGAATGTCCCTGACCAAACAATCAGAAACAGACTTCATGAGGGTGGTCTGAGGGCCCGATGTCCTCTAGTGGGCCCTGTGCTCACTGCCCGGCACCATGGAGCTCAATTAGCATTTGCCAGTGAACACCAGAATTGTCAGGTCCGCCACTGGTGCCCTGTGCTTTTCACAGATGGGAGCAGGTTTACCCTGAGCACATGTGACAGACCTGAAAGGGTCAGAGAATCCATGAGAAGCCATGGAGAATGTTATTCTGCCTGTAACATGGTTCAGCATGACCATTTTGGTGGTGGGTCAGTGATGGTCTGAGGAGGCATATCCATGGAGAGATGCACAGACCTCTACAGGCTACACAATGGCACCCTGACTGCCATTAGGCATCGGGATGAAATCCTTGGACTCATTGTCAGACCCTACGCCGGTGCAGTGGATCCTGGGTTCCTCCTGGTACACGACAATGCCCGCCTCATGTGGTGAGAGTATGCAGGCAGTTCCTGGAGGATGAAGGAATTGATATCATTGAATGCCCCCACGCTCGCCTGACATAAAATCCAAAAACCTCTGGGATATCATGTTTTGGTCTATCCGACCCTGCCAAGTTGCACCTCGTACTGTCCAGGAGCTCAGTGATGCCCTGGTCCAGATCTGGGAGGTCATACCCCAGGACACCATCCGTCATCTCATTAGGAGCATGCCCCGACATTATCAGACATGTATACAAGCACGTGGGGGCCATACAAACTACTGAGTACCATTTTGAGTTGCTGCAATGAAATTTCAGTAAAATGGACTAGCCTGCTCCATCATTTTTTCACTTTGATTTTTGGAGTGTCTTTGAATTCAGTCCTCTGTAGGTTAATAATCTTCTTTTCCATCAAACAATGGGACATCCTTATGTTCCTAACACATTACCCCGTCCATTGAGGTCTGATGTGTTTTCAAAGGGCAGTCATCTCCACAGGGTTTTGATAAACTTCCTGCTAGAACTAGAGCTCTATGATGAGCAAACCTTAGTAGGGGATGTATCAGATCTCTGCATAGAGACCACTGCTTTCATACAGAGAATAAGAGTTCTTTCTGGGTGATGACCAGGGACATTTTTACTCAGGCTGTGGGTTCTTTTTAAAGAAAAGTTGTAAGACTTTGCAATTACTGTTTTGATGCACCCAGAATGTATTTTGCTGATTGAAACTGATCCTTAAATGTGGCTTTAAAATGTATGTTTTAGGCCAGTTATTTCCTATTTTATAATATTTTTTATAGCGTTGAAACCCATGACAGGTGTTTTATTGCTGTTTTTCCTCTTTATTTGTCCTGCGGATTTCTGTCCCCAGAACGGGATGGGAAATGCACAATTTTACAGTTATCACTGTATGATGAAGTGAGGGGAATCCTCTAATGATCCATTTTCTATTATGCCACCACCATATAGCAGGTGTGCAGGATATCTCTCTGTACATTGCATATAATGGGATATATCGTCTGGTGGGGGATTTTCTGACTCAGTGATATTGAGCCTCAAGCCCTGTACACACAGGCTGAAATCAGCTGGTATAGTACAAACCAGCCAACAATCGGCCCGTGTGTACAGGTCCTTGTCTTACAGAGGCCAGTCTGTTGAACGAGCAATCCGGAAAACCAGCAGATGATTGGAATCCAATCGGCGCTCTCAGCCAATGGCTGCAAGCGATGACCAGTGTGTGAGCTCGTGAGCTCCTCCAGGTTTATTTTATTTTTTTTGTGTGTGTGTTTTTTTTGTCATTCAACCCCTGGGTTGAACGAAAGGAAATTTTGGTGTATGTACCAGGCATTATTTGGATTACCTGCCTAGCATATAGACAGGTTTGATAGGTGTTAAAAACATCTATGCTGGACAGAGACAATTTTCTGGAAATTTCAACCACTTTGTTTCAAAATCGTTCAGATCAAATCGGGGTGGATAAAAATCAATGATTTTTAAAAAAAAAATAAAATAAGAAAAATCGGATTTTTTTTATTTAAATCGGATTTTTTTTATTTAAATCGGATTTTTTTTAAATAAAAAAATGCTTTTTGAGGAAAATATATTACCATCCAAAGGTTATTCCATCATGAAATAAAGATTAGTTTTTTAATTATGTAGAATAAGGCTGTATATGTTTAATTGTTTTGGTAAATAAATTCCATGAATCCATTCACAATGTCATGCTCTTCCAGAGGATTTTGTAAGATTATTGGGCAGTTTCTCTGCCTACAAGATATTATCACAGATGTTTGGTTTACTTTTGCAGTTCTCAAAACTGAATTTGAATCAGCGGAGATCACATGCATGCCTCTTCTTCACAGCAAAAATGTTCTAACATGAACAGAGTTAAGAAAAAGACCTTAATCCTAACTTCTACAAACCTATGAATACAGAATCAACCCCTTCAGTGCTAAGTTTCAAGAAGTTCAGTGAATAGAATAGAAACAATATTTTTCTGATTGTTTGGAGTGGAATAGATCTGCACAAGAAAAAAAAATGAACTAAGTGTGAGGAGGAAGGGGCTGACAGTCTAAGTTTCTTAAAATATATATATTTTGTTTAGCCAAATTAGTTACCAAACATGGATGTTTGTTTCAGCAAATACAATGCTGGAATGTTATTGTTTCAGTTGAATAAATCTATTTAAATTGTTATTATTAAGGTAATGATTATTTTTCTCCTTCCTAAGTACAACAGAAAAGCTGTCCAAATATGAATGATTAACCTATTAAACTGGGGATAAAAAAAACTAATATGAAAAGTTGTTATTCTAAAAATCTTCATCTACTTGCATATTAAAGTTACAGTATACCAGCAAGAATTAGTCTTTATGTAGAAAACTATGATTTAAATCAAGCCTTACTGACTAGTGATTTTAAATCGTGATTTAAATCAGTTTGATTTAAATCAAATCCACCCTGGATAAAATATTTATACAATTGGATGTTTTCTTGATCTGTTCAGTAATTTTTGTGAAAGCTAGAAAACCACCCTTTGATAGGTCAGCAGTAGAACATGTCCTATTTTTTGGGGTTCAGGTTTTGTGTAGTATTGCTGTGTGCGGTCAGTTGTGTTCAATATAGACTTTATGAACCTTCCCATGTACCCCTGCTTCTGAATAGTCAGGTGCAGGGGTATCTCAGTCCCAGGATAAGTATCTATGTGGCTTGAACTACAAATCACTAAAATGTGTGTGTGTGTATGTGTATGTATATATGTGTGTGTGTGTGTATATGTATGTATGTGTGTGTGTGTGTGTGTATATGTATGTATGTATGTATGTATATATATATATATATAAATACACACACGCGTGGTCTATAGGTCCTAGGTGAAAATTGTATTTTACTGACTTTGAGCAGCCTTTCAGTAAAGCATTTTTCTATTAGCACTGTAGCTAACCTTGCTTCTCTTCTGTTAGGAGATGGCGATCTGTCCCTATGACTGTAATCACAGGATGCCTAAATCTTTTCTGGAAAAGCATGTCAGTGTATGCAGACTACGAAAGCTGGGCTACAGTAAAGAAGAGGTAACTCCTAAGAAACGTATTTTGTTGTACATTATACATTGACCTATAACCAGGACTCCTCAAGAGAAGTACAGCATATGATGTCACATTTTTCTATTGTTGTGATGAAATCTGGTTCCCCCTGTACGCACGTCCTCAGTGCTTGATATTGCTATTGCACAATTCAGAGAAATCTAAAATGAACAGTCATTTTACTGGCAGAGAACATACTTGGCCTGGCAATTTTTACATAATAAAAGTATAGTTGCTAGTGTAAAAAAGGCCCCCTGCACATGGAGTGCCTAGCTGCTGTGTGCCTGGGAGGTACAAGTGCTGCCCAGTTACTTGCAACCTGTCAGAATCTTTGGCAGGCTACAGCTGGATGGGGCTGAACACTGCGTTCCAGGCATTCATCCTTAATGCAAGTACATCTAAGTACAGCTTCCAGCCACGGTGTGCCATAGATGCTCAGGCAGTGGGGCTGGATGCTGCACATGTGCCTGGGGGGTGCACAGTTGCTAGATGCCCTGTGTGCAAGGGGTCTATATGCTTTTGATTATTCTTGTTTCCCATGTTGCACAGAGTAACTCCTTCCTTTTTTTTTTTTTTTTTTTTTTTTTTTTATAAATGCAGACAGAAGCATATGAACCCAAGTTTTTTTATGAAAAATCAAGCAAACCTTGCATTGTTCTGGGTACGTATATTCGAATTCTCAGGGTGTTTGTTTATACCATTTTTCTGTATGTGTGAGGAGCAGGGTGAGTGGTACAATATCAGTTTGCTGTTGCTGATCTTTCATTTAGTATTCTGGGTTGGGGGGGGGAGGGTGTTTTGACTGGAGTTTGCTCGGTGCTTCTACGGTGGAGGTTAAGGATCTGAATGCGATGTCTGTTAGGGGACCCCCTATAAGACAATGTTAAAACACTGGCTTCTCGGAATTCCAAATACTATGACAGGTTTATCAATAATTTTTCAAGTGTGGTTTCCTCCTTAAACTGTTTCTAATTAGTAATGTTGACCCTCGTGCAATGCAGCTGCTGTATTTTTTCCCTTTTTTAAATCTTACTTCAGCAAAAACAGCCAGATTCACTTTTAAATACATATTGAATTTTTATCCAGTTATAAAAATGGTAATTCTGGTCAGGCACCTATATGATTCACAAACCTCATCCACACTGCATAGGTAGCTGGGTGATGGCAGTATTTGCTATAGCGGTTATGCTGTATCCTGTACTACCTGATAGATTTTTGCACTATGGATGGGCATCATTACACTTTTGAAGTTCACATTGTTTTTGAACTTCAAATTGTTTGTAAAGATATAAGTACCAGAACTGTCATCTTGGAGTATGTAAAAACATTTCATATTCCTGTGCCCGCTGTACCATATACTTGTTTGAAAGAGGGCCCTGTTCTCTGTGTTGCTTCCTTTGTGTGAAATCCCTGGTGTTCCTGACAGTCCCTCTGCTTGCCTAATAAAAACTGACCACACTAAGCAGGAAAACACACCGTGGTCAATTCTCAAGCTATGCTGGCGACGGAGCCTGCTTTCCTCCAACCCCCCGCACAGCTTTTCACTGGGAAGATCGGTGTTCTGTAGCTGCGGACAGAGTGTATGTGATCACTTATATAAAAGAAAAAAACAAGGATTTGTTTTTTATATGTATACACAAATGTTTTTCCTATTATATCTTTTTTAAACTGAATGGGTTGTTTTACGGTGAGGGTTTACAATCACTTTAACCCCCCTTGCGATATTCCCAAGTGTAGCTCGGGGTAAAGTTTCAGTACCAGAGTTGGTAACCCCCCCGAGCTACACTGGAGATTACACTGCAGCATTGCTCTGGGATCCCTGGATCACTTACCTGGTCCTGCAGTCCCGTGCTGTCCTCCCGCTGCATCCTCCTCGGCTATCTCCTCCGGCCGATGCCGGCATCAGTCTTCCGGGTTCTGTTCCCTGCGAGCGTCGGGACGTACAGGGATGGAACCGGCGGGAGATTAAAAAATGTCAAAATTCATTTCACATACATTTTGTGCCGAGTGCTTTGTCCTGTGCCCTGCCTGCATTTTTACTGTTCTTTCTTCCTTGAAACTGAGAAACGTCCATGGTGTCCAAAAATCGTCACTTTAGGTCAAAAGCGGTTTTAGACCAGCTAGAGAACAGCGATAGTAAATTAGAATCACTTTATTAGAATTGAATGATAATGATTCGTGGGGAAATTCGTCGTCAGACACTGAAAACGATTCTGTGACTTTGCTCAGAGATGTGCGAACTTGGCGCTCTATTTCAACTTTCAGTGTTTTTGGTTTGATTACATTATTGAATTAAATGTATTATTATTATATTATTATTTTTTTTATGATTATTTATTATATTATAATTTATAATTTCGTTTTTCAAATTTTATCATACCTGGGATGTTTACTAGACTCTTGTTCGGACAGATTTCAGTGAGTTATTCCTGAGAATTTCAGGCCTACAATAAAAAAAACAAATATTACCTATGAAAACAATGTACTGCTTTGAGCACAGAAATACTGACATAATCATACCGCTAGGGAGGTTAACCTTTTGTTTCACTAATAAATTAGTTACTTTGTTGTCGTGCCCATCTTGCTTTAATGAATAAGTGCTTGTATTCTTTTTTGCCTCTTTGTCTTGACCTAAACAATCCCCCCCCCACCTGCAGATTCATAGTTACCAAGTTCCAAGGGCTGTGGAATCCAATGTTTTTTTACATCCAGCAGTGACAGGCTTTTTCACTTGGTTGCGTCGCACGTTAGTTCCATAGACTTCTAGCCAAAGATGGAAGATTGCCCCTATAGACTTTCAGGGATGTGGAAATGGTTTAAAAAAAACTGCTTGTCCAAGGGACTAAATTGGGGTCCCAAACTACTTGTCCCTTTTATGACAATCTACTTGTCCTGATAAAAAAAAATATATATATAATTTAACCAAAACCGTATTTAAAAAAGGTCTTAATTTTTATACTATTACTAAATTAGACAGTTTTATCACTGGGGATTTTCAATTGATGTATGTTCCTTTTGAAACCATGAAATGACTTTGCCTGGATGGAAAATATGAATGGTTGATTTTTTTTATTAGGCGGTGCTATGGGGAGGTGATATTAGATATATATGGGGCATTTAAAAACAAAAAAAGGGCTTTATGGCGACCTAAATTTTTTATATTGTTAACATTGCACTTTATCTCTTCCCTGCCTTTCTCCAGCACCTTACACATGGATATCAAAATCCCCTACTTTACCCCTATACATCAGAGTCCCCCCCCCCCCCCCCCCCCCCCCCCCCCTTATATCAGTGTCCAGTGGATTCCCTGCTTACATCAGACCCTGGCGAAGTGCCCCCTTTAGTCAGAGCTCAGGGGGGGTGCTCCCTTTAGTCAGAGCTCAGGTGGGGTGCCCCCTTTAGTCAGAGCTCAGGTAGGGTGCCCCCTTTAGTCAGAGCTCAGGGAATTGCCCCCTATACATCAGAGTCCCCCCCCCCCCCCCCCAGTGTCCAGTGGAGTCCCTGCTTACATCAGACCCTGGCAAAGTGCCCCCTTTATATCAGTGTCCCCCTTTAGTGAGTCCCTGCTTACATTTAGTCAGACCCTGGCAAAGTGCCCCCTTTAGTCAGAGCTCAGGTGGGGTGCCCCCTTTAGTCAGAGCTCAGGTGGGGTGCCCCCCTTTAGTCAGAGCTCAGGTGGGGTGCTCCCCTTTAGTCAGAGCGCAGGTGGGGTGCCCCCCTTTAGTCAGAGCTCAGGGAAGTGCCCCCCTTTAGTCAGAGCTCAGGGAAGTGCCCCCCTTTAGTCAGAGCTCAGGGAAGTGCCCCCCTTTAGACAGAGCTCAGCGGGGTGCCTCTCCAGCTGCTAACTGGACATGAAATAGCTAAATTTGAAGCTCCTGAAAGAACAGGGAGAGGGGAGGTAGATAACGATATATATAATTTTTTTTTTTTAAAAGATGAACTTATCCTTCAACAGAGGATGATTTGGCTGCTCTGAAGGTGCTTGTACTGAGAACCCAAGTGCTTCTTTGTGCAAGGGTTTTTTTTTTCCTCATTGGGATCAACACCTAATTTATTTGTCAAGACGCGCATCTGCTGAGCGTTGAGAGCCTGACACTCCCCTTACTTGACAGGCACCCAATCTATGCTAGTCACACTACAAGGTCTCTTTCCTCCCTGCTAGTTCCCGGGCACGGTGCTGGAGATAGGCGTGGAGGTGAGGAGGAAATAAACAGTGCAATGTTAAATATTAAAAGTTTAAGTTGCTGTAAAGCCCCTTAATTTTTATATGCCCCGGACATTCCTAAAAGCACCTCAGATTTAAATAATTTTGGCTAAATTTTTTTTTATTAGGACCTGGCTTTAGTTGCTTAGACAAGTATATATATATTTTTACATTTCCACACCCCTGATGCATCTGTGGAGGAGAGGGTGGGATCTGTTAGGTTCAGTTTAAATTTAAATCCAGGGCAAAGCAACTGGTTCACGTAACTGCCATTTGTGAGCGGTTATCAGTTATGTCATGGCACCCGATATACAGTATGTGCTGGACATGGATATTGGTATTTTGTGCTATTTAAAAAAAAAAAGTGCTACTGACTTACAGATTTGTTGAATTCATTAATGTGCTTTACTTCAACAGATAAAGCTAAACAGTTCGAGATCATCAAACAAGCTGAGGCTGCAGCACCTAATACAAGTGAAGGTGGTTTATGGGACAAAAGTAAGTGAAACAACATTACACATTCCATTAGACCTACCAAAGTAATGTCCCATAAACTGAAATTGGAAATGTTTTAACACAACTGCCTAACAATTTTCAGGATTATTTAGTATTGCTTATTATTATTTTTTTTAAACTGTTAAGGTACTCCCAAGTCTCATTCTTCGATAGTAAGTGCAAAGTAAAAAAAACAAAAACTCAGGTAATCTCAAATTAACAGGTTCATTTAACTGCCCACTGCCCATTTGCTGCTCATACACACCTTCCCTTCACTCCTCATTCTCCATAAACCTGTCTGGGTGAATAAAGGGTTCCTGTATCAGTCCAACATTACCTTGGTCAGATCTTACATAGTTCTAAGGGCCTTCAGGCACCCAGGGCTGCATTGTGAGAGGAGGGGAGTGAGTTGCATGCTCCCTCCAATACCTGTAAACAGGGGTGTATTTAGGTTTTGTGCTGCCCTAGGCAA